CATTGTTCATTTTAAAGCATTATTTATTTGACATCCTTCTGTGGGAAACAATAACTGGTCAACTTCCACGCTCTTCAGCGCCCATCATGCATTCTTCTCACATACTCATGCTTCTGTTGTCGTTACACCATGTTTGTTTAACCAAGTAATTCATTTCTTTGAATTTACGTAGTGCTATCTACACGTATCATTCATGTCAGTCATGTTGTATCCTATGACTAGTTACCCTTGCCTTTTAAACATTTGATTTTTATGTATTTACTAATTGTGTTGGTTGTTATTAAATTTCCCATATACCCGTCATCATTTCACTGTTGTCATCCTGGGGACTCCCATCACTTTCTTCCTGTGTTGGATCCTTTGTCTTTTGGATCCCACTGCCTTCTTTCTTTTTGTAGTTCCTTCTTTTAGTGGACTGTACTCTTTATTGTTAATCGTATATTATTTGTGGTGTCTTTCATATTTGTGCAATATTAATTATAAAATATTATTAAGTCGTCTTGTGTGATAGGAAGCAATTCATAGTAATTTAAATCTAATTGTGGTTTCATTTCTCTGTATGCATTTTAGACAAGTGTTTTAACCTTTAAGATTGATTATATATTCGTTTTTTTTTTAAACAGGCTTGCTCCTCCTGTGATACCACTCTTTTTTTTTAAAGATTTTATTTATTTATTTATTAGAGAGGGGAAGGGAGGGAGAAAGAGAGAGAGAGAGAGTAACATCAACGTGTGGTTGCTTCTCATGTGGCCCCCACTGGGGACCTGGCCTGCAACCCAGGCATGTGCCCTGACTAGGAATCAAACCTGCGATGCTTTGGTTTGCAGCTCGCGCTCAATCCACTGAGCTATGCCAGCCAGGGCTTGATTATATATTCTTGAATTTAAATAAATTTCTTAAACTCTCCACTTAAATGCCAACTAATTTTTTTAAATTAAAAGCTTTTAATAGTTTTTCATCTTTGTTTTTAATCTTTGAAAGTTTTTTAAAAATTTTTATCTCTATTGTATTTTTTTACATTACCTTTTAGTCCCTTTATATACTCCTTCCCCCAGCAGTCGTCACACTGTTGTCCATGAGTCCTTTTTTCTATTTTGCTCAACCCCTCCACCCCCTAACTGCCCCCACTCCACAACACTAGCTGTCATCCTGCTCTCCCTCTGTGAGTCTGTCTCCATTTTTCTTGTTAGTTCAGTTTGTTCATTAGATTTCCACATATGGGTAATATCAGAGGCAAATTCTGTTTCTGACCTAATAACATTTTTGGGAGAAAATGAGTTGTTACAAAACAAAAACACTATTCAAATGAACTCTTGCTGCATACCATAATGCTATATTTTTGTTAGTTTGTGGGGATGATAGTCTCTGGTATAGTCAAAATGCTAGAATTGTTTGAAAACTGGATATAATTTTGGGAAAGTCCTATTTTATTTCCCTTGATATACAATATAGCATTATTTGATGGTATATTTTATTGATTATGCTATTACAGTTGTCCTATTTCCCCCCTTTATTCCCCTCTGCCCTGCACAGCCCCTTCCATCCACATTCCCCCCACCCCCTGTGCCCCTGCTTTAGTTCATGCCCATGGGTCATACATATAAGTTCTTTGGCTTCTATATTTCCTATACTATTCTTAACCTCCCCTTGTCCATTTTCTACTTACCATTTATGCTACTTATTCTCTTTACCTTTTCCCCCTCTCTCCTCCTTCCACTCCCCTGCTGATAACCCTCCATGTGATCTCCATTTCTATTGTTCTGTTTCTGTTCTAGTTGTTTGCTTAGTTTGTTTTTGTTTTAGGTGTGGTTGTTAATAACTGTGAGTTTGTTGTCATTTTACTGTTCATATTTTTTATCTTTTTTTTTCTTAGATGAATTCCTTTAACATTTCATATAATAAAGGCTTGGTGATGATGAACTCCTTTAACTTGACGTTATCTGAGAAGCACTTTCTCTGCCCTTCCATTCTAAATGAAAGCTTTGCTGGATAGAGTGATCTTGGATGTAGGTCCTTGCCTTTCATGACTTGGAATACTTCTTACCAGCCCCTTCTTGCCTGCAAGGTCTCGTTTGAGAAATCAGCTGACAGTCTGAGGGGAACTCCTTTGTGGGTAACTGTCTCCTATACTCTTGCTGCTTTTAGGCTTCTCTCCTTATCTATAATCTTGGGTAATGTAATTATGATGTGCCTTGGTGTGTTCCTTCTTGGGTCCAACTTCTTTGGGACTCTCTGAACTTCCTGAACTTCCTGGAAGTCTATTTCCTTTGCCTGATTGGGGAAGTTCTCCGTTATTATTTGTTCAAATAAGTTTTCCACTTGTTGCTCTTCCCCTTCTCCTTCTGGTATCCCTATAATTCGGATGTTGGAACGTTTAAAGATGTCTTGGAGGTACCTAAGCCTCTCCTCAATTTTTTGAATTCTTGTTTCTTCATTCTTTTCTGGCTGTATGTTCCTTTTTTCCTTCTGGCCCACATCATTGATCTGAGTTCCAGTTTCCCTCCCATCACTATTGGTTCCCTGTGCATTTTCCTTCATTTCTCTTATTGTAGCCTTCATTTTTCATCTAATTTGCAACCAAATTCAACCAATTCTGTGTGCATCCTGATCACCAGTGCTTTGAACTGTGCATCTGATAGGTTGGCTATCTCTTGGTTGCTTAGTTGTATTTGTTCTGGAGCTTTGATCTCTTCTTCCATTTGGGCCTTTTTTTTTTTTTTTTTTGTCTTGCCATACATGAGCCACGAAAGGTTAAGTGCCTATGGCAGGTTCTGCTGAAAGGACTGATGTGCCCCAACTGACTTGGAAGGTTCAGGTGAAAATGCTGGAGTAACTCGTCCCAGTGCAAAAAGCATACCTGCAGTCACACAACTGTGGTGCCTTAGAAGAAAGTATGTTCTCGGTGGAAGGGATGGATCACAGCTCTTTTCAAGTTTTCCACCTGCCACATTCCTTACAATATAGTATTTTTAAGCCTAATCCTATATACTACTGATATTTGAGAAATAGACAAATTTAGGTTCCTATGAGGAACCTAAAAAATATAGGAAAAATATTACAGGAAAAAATATATTACATGGTATTTTCCAGTTGACTTCAACCATGACTCCCCATTTGCAATCATCTTGTATGTCACTTCTCCCATTATTCCTTCCTGATATGTATTTGAGTGAACCATTGCTCATTGGCACTTGCATTGATACTTGCACAGGATGGAGGTGGGATTGCTCGTGTTGTCTGAGCATGCAGCCCAGGAGCCTGCACTGATTCTGGGTCCCTGGGCAAAGTGGCACTGTGAGGTGGGACAGGAGTATACTTGGCAAATTGTGCTTGTTTGACAATGCTGTGCAAAGCTTTGAAAAAAGGGAAAATTTCTATTTTGTTTGCTTCATGTCTTCTATCCTAATTCCATCTCCATGTGCTTCACTTCTGGTAGGACTTGTTATTGATACTAACTTTATCAATATTTGTTTAAATATTAATTTAATTGCTTAAATAATCTGCAGTATTATAAAACAAATAGGCTTTTCCCAGCTAACCTGAGAACCTATCTGGGTTGGGTTTGTTTTTTTTTTTTTTGGTTTGTTTGTTTTTTAAGCCCTTAACTGTGGTAGGTACTTTTCTAGATGCTGGAGATAAAGTTGAGAGCAATACTGACAGATGCTTTTTCCTTCATATTCCATACATCCTTCTTGAGCTAGTATTTTTTATAAAAAATAGATGTAGAAATGCAAAAACTTACTTATAAATATATAATCTATATATAAATTAAAATGGGATATTGTTTTAGTTATATTCTGTATGAGTTACTTTTTACTAGAGGGGGCAGAAATATTTGTTAGTAGTATTGAATTACAACTTGTTATACTTAAGCTTTGTGTTTTATGTCAGAATGTTAGCATGCATTTCATTTCAGCAGCTCCTTTTCTTTGCTTCTGAAGATTTAAAGCTGTAATTTACAATGATTTATTGAGTGGTTGTAATAATGCTTCTTTCATATCCTGAATTAGTTTTGTAAGATAAAGAAAAAAGAGAGATAATATTCCACTGTCATGGCTAATATAGAAATTGCTCTTTGCCTGAAAATATTAAGCCTATTCTTTTTAAAGACAAATACACTTTTAATGAGATATGATTCATATTCCATAAAAATTTTTAAAGTGTATAACTTAGATGTTTTTAACATACAGGGTGTAGCAAAAGTACGTTCACAGTTTTGAGTGCGTGAAGCACAGAGTTTATTCTTGTACTGTTATTTATTAACCATTGCCTTATTTTGTATACGAACAACTGAAAACTTACTTTTGCCCACCCTATATTTGCAATGTTTGCAACAATCACCATTTTCTAATTCCAGAACATTTTCATTGCTCCCAGAAGAACTGTGTATCTATTAGCAGTTATTTCTCCTTCCTTCCCCCTGATTCTGGCATCTACGAATCCTTTTCTCCTCTATGGGTTTGCCTCTTCTGGCTATTTCATATAAGTGGGATCGCACAATATGTGTGACTGGCTTCTCTCACTATTTTCAAGTTTTATTTATTTGTAGCATGTATTGGTACTTCATTCCTTTTTATGGATAACATTCCATTGTATGGCAGTGCCACCTTTTGTTTGTCCATTCAACAATTTATGGGCATTTGTGTTTTTCCCACTTTAATTATTCATAAAACTATATGAGTAATGCTGCTATGAAGTTTTATATGCAAGTTTTTGCATGAACATATGATTACAGTTCTCATGGTATATATCTAGAATAGAATTGTTGGGTCATATTATAACTGTATGTTTGTTTTTTCAAGGAGTGACAAAATATATTTCAAAGTATTGTACCATATTATGTTCCTACCAGCTATGTATGAGGTTTGAATTATTTAACATCCTTGTCACTACTCGCTGTTGGTCTTTTGAATCATAGCTGTCTTAATTGGTATGAAGTGATGTTAAGGTTACTGTTTTTTGAGGAATTATAATAACAATTTTTAAATCTTGCTTTTTAGGTGCTGTACTTCTTTGTAGTGTAGAAGGACTAGCAGTTAATGTTGATCCAGTCCTATACACCTGGCTCATTTATCAGCCTCAGAAACGTACCAGTAGACATATGCAGCAGGTGAGAAATTTTTATAATTCTCTAAATGAATACATCTTTTTCTCTGTCATTGATGAGAGTTATATATTTCTTCTATTGATATTATTTGTGGATGTACCAGAATTGTGCTGTTCTCCCATTCTTCCCCTTTCAGGTGTTTCTATTCCTTAGTTTCTCTACAAAAAAATTACAGCTCAAAATGGAGTTTCATTGACAAGTAAATGTGTTTTCTGTATAATTGCTTGTAAAGCATATACATTATAGAAGCTAGTTTAGGTAGTCCAGTATTTTCCTCGTAGTGCCTACATGTTTGTTCTCAAAGTGTCAGATACATAAGAAATTTTTAGTAGCTGTTAGCTTTTACTTTTGTTATCTCTACATTTCTTTGTCTTTAGGTTTATTCAACAAACATGCATTGAGTACCTAACCCTGATATTAGGATGGTTAGTGCATAAGAATTGGGATGTATGTTTGTTTAAAAGATTATAAGTTAAAAAGTAAATAGCAGCTAATGCAGTTTCTAGAATACTTACATGTAATTTTCTATGTCATATTAGTTAAATGTAATTCTGACTGATGGTTTTATTATTCCTATTTTAAAGACAAAGAAACTGATGTTTATTTAGATTTTTTTCACTTATTGTCACAAATCTAGTAGATGGCAGAACTTAGGGTTTAAGGCCACATTTATGCTATATTGAATTGCATTTTTCCATTGTTTTAATTGTAGTTTCGTAATATTCTACTTGAAATAGCTCGTATCTGTTTTCTGAAGTAACTTATTGCTAGCTGATAGGAGAAAATGACAATTTTATAATTGCCTCAGAATATAAAAAATAACTAAAAGGTAAATTCATATGTCAAGGAACATCTTTTAAATATTTTTCTTCACTTTGTTTTAGTTTCATTTGAAACTTCCGCCATCTCTCTCCCATGCCATTCTTCTGTTTATTGAATAGTTACGGAATATGAGGCTGTGTGCTGGGTACCGAGGCTACGGAAATAAAAGTCATGTTTGAGAATATTAGTACCTCTAGAGCTGTTTAGTGTATTTGAAAATATTAAGGAATATAGTTATGCCATTCTCAGTAAGTGCTACATTAGATGTATATATAGGATTATGTGAAAACAAAAAAGAGGAATAGTTCTGACAAGCAGCTGAGGGTTTTAAAAGGAGAATGGAGTGGTAAAAGTGGACACTGCTGTCTTGTTCCTGATCTTAAGGGAAATGTTATTTATTTTTGCCCATTGAGTATGATGTTGGCAGTGGATTTATTATATATGGCCTTTCTTATGTTGAGATATGCTCACTCTATTTCTACTTTGCTGAGTGTTTTTATCATAAGTGGGTGCTGGATATTTATCGAATGCTTTTCTACATCTATTAATATGATCATGTGATTTTTGTCTTTCATTTTGTTTATGTGATGTATTATATCTGTTGATTTGTGAATATTGGACCATCCTTGCATCCCTGGAATAAATCCTGCTTGATCATGGTGTATGATCTTTTCATTGTATTGCTGGATCTGCTTTGCTAATATTTTGTTGAGGATTTTAGCATTATATTTATCAGAGATACTGGGCTGTAACTTTCTTTGTTCTATCTTTACCTGGTTATGAGGCTAGGATAACACTGGCCCCCTAAAAAGAGTAAGGGAGTCTTTCTTCTTCTTGAATTTTTTGGAATAGTTTGAGAAGGATAGGTATTAGTTCTTCTTTGTATGTTTGGTAAAATTTGCCTGTGAACCATCTGGTCCAGGGCTTTTGTGTGCTGGGAGTTTTTTGATTACTGCTTTGATTTTACTAGTTGTTATTGGTTTGTTCAGGTTTTCTTCTTCCTGATTCAGTTTTGGAAGATTGTATGTTTCTAGAAATTTATCCATTCTAACACAGTACGGGAAATCCTAACCGCAGTGATCAGACGGAAGAAGAAATAAAAGGCATCCAAATTGGAAAGGAAGTAAAACCATCATTTGCAGACAACATGATAGTGTACATAGGAAAACCTTTAGGCTTCACCAAAAAACTGCTCGACCTAATAAGTGAATTTGGCAAAGTAGTGGGATACAAAGTCAATATTCAGAAATTAGTGGCATTTTTGTACAAGAACAATGAGCTATTAGAAAGAGAAACTAAGGAAAAAATCCCATTTACTACAGCAACAACAACAAAGTACCTAGGAATAAATTTAACCAAGGAGCTAAAAGACTGGTACTCAGAAAACTATAGAACACTAAAGAGAGAAATTGAGGAAGATAAAAATAAATGGGAGAACTGGAGTGGTACAAACAAAAAAATGAAACTAGACCATCAACTTATACCATATACCTGAATAAACTCAAAATGGATGAAAGACTTGAATGTAAGTCGCGATACCATAAAAGTGCTAGAGGAAAACATAGGCAGTAAAATTTCAGATATCCTACATAGCAATATTTTTGCTGATATATCTCTTTGAGCAAGGGAAATAAAGGAAAAAACAAACAAGGGGGGTCCACACCAAGTTAAAAACCTTCTGCATGGCTAAAGAAACCATCATCAAAAGGAAAAAAGGTAACTGATTGTATGGGAGAACATATTTGCCAGTGATACCTGGGACAAAGGTTTAATCTTCAAAATATACAAAGAACTCATACAACTCCACATCAGGAAGACAAAACAGCCCAGTTAAAAAATGGGCAAAGGACCTGAATAGGCACATCTCTAAGGAGGACATACAGAGGGCCCATAGACATATGAAGAGATGTTCAACATCACTAGCCATTAGAGAGATGCAAATTAAAGTCACAATGAGATATACCACCTCCCATCTGCCTATCATTATAAATCAATGAACAAGTGCTGGCAAGGATGTGGAGAAAGGGGAACCCTAGTCCACTGTTGGTGGGAGTGCAGACTCTTGCAGCTGCTGTGGAAAGTAGTATTGAGTTTCCTCAAAAAAATTAAAAATGGAACTGCCTTTTGACCCAGCAATTCCACTACTGGGAATACACCCTAACCTAAGAATCCCAAAACACCAGTTCAAAAGAATTTATGCACCTTTAGGTTCATAGCAGCATTATTTACAATAGCTAAGATTTGGAAACAGCCTAAGTGCCCATAAGTAGATGAATGGATCAAAAATGGTGGTACATTTACACAATGGAATCCTACACAGTAGGAAAAAAGAAGGAATTCCTGCCTTTTTTGACAACATGAATGGAACTGGAAACTATTATGCTAAGTGAAATAAGTCAGTCGGTGAAAGACGTATATCATATGATCTCACTTATAATAGGAACCTAATGAACAAAATAAAGTAATAAGCATAATAGAACCAGAGACATGGAGTCATGGAATAAACTGACTGCTGTAAGAGGGGACAGGGGAGCAGGGGACTGATTGAAGGAAGGTGAAGGGGTTAGTCAAAAAACATACACAGTGGACCCATGGACATGGATAATGGTGTGGGGATTGACTATGGATTGACTATGGGCAGACTGGGTGGAGGAGGTGAAGGGGAAAGTGGGACAACTGCAATAGCATAAACAATAAAACATTAAACAGGAAAAAATAAAAATAAAAGGAGGAGAATTAACAATTCAGCTAAAGATCATAGGAGTGAGCCAGAAAGGGAAGGTTGTTTTAGGCTAAACCGTGTAAGCAGAGGCAAAAAAGATGTTGCATTTCCAGACTAGAGCCAGGTGTTCTTATAGAGACTGGTAGAAACTGGAAACCAATTAATAAAATACTTTATTTGTATTGCTGAGGTTTTAAAACTGTCCTGAAGGGTTAAAAGGAAGTATAGGAAACTGATGTAAATAGATTTGGATTTTAAAAAGTTTATTATGATACAATGGGTGGTAGAGAAATAAGACTAATGGCAGAGACCATTTGAAAAAAAGTTTAGTTGTAAATTATTTTATTCTTATAGAGATATAGCTAACATATAACATACCAGTTTCAGCTGTATAATATAATGATTTGATATTGTTGCATATGTTGTGAAATCGTCACAATAATTTAGTTAATATCCATCACCAATATAGTTACAAATCTTTTTCCTCTTAATAAGAACTATTAAGATTTACTTTCTTAGCAACTTTCAAATATACAATACAGTACTATTAACTAACTGTACATTACATTGTACATCACATCTTATGTCCTACTCATTTTATAACTAGAAGTTTATACCTTTTGATTTCATCTACCCCTATTGCCCTTACCAGTCTCCCCCCACATACCAAACTCTGGCAATCACTCATCTGTTCTCTATATATATGAGTGGGTTTTTTTCGGGGGGAGGGGAATGTGTCTTATTTTATTTAAATTCCACATACTACTTGTCTGACTTATTTTATTTAGGCTAAAGCCTCAAGGTCCATCCATGTGCAAGTGGCAGGATTTCCTTCTTTTATGGCTGAATAATATTCTATTGTATTATAAATTCTTCACTGATTATTTTATAAAGGATACAATTATTACCAGTAAAATATGGCTGTCCCTGAAGGTCAACTCTAGCAGCTTAAGGAAATTAGACTTTTATTTGATTAATACCAAGCACCTTCAAAGATTCTGACTTTTAATTTTATTTTATAACTTTTTAAATTAAATGTAAATACATATTTTTCTAAGTTCAAAAATAAAAGTTTTATTCCTGTTCTGCTTGTTTGCTTAGTTTGTTTTTCAGATTCAGTTGATGATAGTTGTACATTTGTTGTGTATTTTAATGTTCATAGTTTTAATTTTCTTTTTCTTACATAGTTCCCTTTTACATAATGGAGGTACCAGGTGGAGGGGGGAAAATTGGGACAAGTATAATAGCAAAATCAATAAAATATATTAAAAAAATAAGTTTTATTTATGCTCTGGCTGGTGTGGCTTAGTGGATTGAATACCAGTCAGCGAACCAAAGGGTTACTGGTTCAATTCCTGGTCAGGACACATGCTGGCGTTGTGGGCGAGGTCCCTGGTAGAAGGTGTATGAGAGGCAACCATACATTGCTGTTTCTTTCCTTCTCTTTCTCCTTCTCTCTAAAAATAAGTAAAATCTTTTTTTAAAAAATGGTAGTTTTATTTAAAAGATAAACTAACAAATACCCATATCTTATTAATCTAGAGTTATAAATATTGTGGTAAATATCTTCATAGGTAAGTCTTTGCATTAAAAAAAATTTTATTTTTATTTATTTTTAGAGAGGGAGGGGAGGGAGATAGAGAGAGAGAGAAAAACATCAATATGCGGTTGCTGGGGGCCATGGCCTGCAACCCAGGCATGTGCCCTGACTGGGAATCAAACCTACGGCACTTTGGTTCGCAGCCTGTGCTCAATCCACTGAGCTACTCCAGCCAGGGCTCTGCATTTTTCTTTAACTATCCACTTAGAATATATTTTTAGAAGTGTAATTAGTAGCTCCAGGCATGCATTTTAATATATTTAAGGCTCTTGTTATACTGGCAATTTGTTTCTAGAAGTTTATATAGTTTATATACATTTTCATCAGCATTTTATATTATTACTATTTTACTGCAGTTGAGTATATCTCAAAAATATACTTTTTTAAGTGCCTTTAATCTACTATTTTAGTTTTAGATTTTTTTTTAAATGGATAAATCAGAGAATAGTACAGTTGAATCCTGTGGCCTCATCACCCAGCTTCAATATTTATTAACTCATGAATAATCACCTTTACTTAAAAATCTATAAGATGAAAAATGTCAATGTTCAGTAGTGTTGAAAATTCAGAAAATGGAGGACCTCATATACCACTGGTATGAGTAAAAATTGATAAATTTGATAAGATCTAATAAAATTAAAAATGAATGTACCCTATGATACCAAAATCCCACTTTTTGATACAGCTGTGCTCTTACAGTCTCATTCATGTGAGCTGAGGGAGTCCTGTACAAGTCTGTTGTTGCAGTATGCATTGCAGTGATATAAATCGAAGCCCACCTAAATGACAGTCTCTCTGAAGTGGATGATTAAAGTGTGGCATATTCACACGATACAATACTTCATTGTTTAAAATTATGCAATAGGTCTTAATATGGATGTCTCAAAATTTTATTTAATTCAGAAAATCAGTTTCCCAAGGACATACAGAATATGGCAGTATCTATGTCTGTTTTTCCAAAACCACCCTTTTAATAAGTAATTAATTTGAAGGATTGTATCAATATCATAATATTGGTTGACTCTGGGAGAAATGGGCAATTGGTGTTTAGTTGGTATTTTAGCTTTATGTGTAATAGTGTATCTCCTTTTTAAAAAAAATAAGCAAATATGATAAAATATTAATAACCAGTAATTATTGGTTATATTGGGAATATGAATATTGTTTTATTAATAATTTCTGGTGTTTTATAGTATTAAATTAATAATAAAGAAGGGAAATTTTATAAAAAGAGTGACTAAAGCTTTAGTTAGTTTGGGATCATGGGATATTTTTGGGGGCAAGAATAGGACAAATGTGGAGCTAGGGTACAGCTGGAATTTAGAGGAATATTTACTACCAGAAGGTAGAAGAATGTAAGCAGGACAATGGTAGGTTACTAAAAATAAATACTGCCTATTTTGATATTGTTGACTGGGGAGCGATATTTCCAGAAAAGTGGAGGGAATCATCCATCTTGCTTTGTTCTTTATCCAGTGTCTCTTCATGCCTGACATGTGGCACCTACATTAGCAATCATTCATATTCTGTTGAATACCATGTCAGATGTTTGGAATATAGCTGTGTAGAAGTCATGTAAGAGCCTTGCACTCTTGTTAGAAAGGGTTTTTGTTTGGCCTTTTACTGTATTTTTACCTACGTGAACCCAGAGTTTCAGCCAATGAAAGAAAGATTTTTTTGTTCGTTTGTTGTTGGGTATTGCCAATACCATGGTTTTTATTAATCTCATCTTTCACCTTTTATGCTTGAATTCAATATCACACTATACATCACATAATTTTTCTCTAATTATTATATATTGATTTTGATCTCAAATTTGGTTGTAAGAGTACTTGATTATGCTCCAGGTTTACAAATAATGGCCAAGAAAGTCAAGGGATTATGGAATTAATAAATGTCAGAGCCTAAAGGGGTTTTCCAGTAGGCTTCTGTACCCCCTTACTTTATTGATGAAGTCTAAATGAATCAAACTTACATTATGCTGAGAGTTTCTCATCTAGGTCTTACATACTATTTCCATTTCCTACTTAGATTTGTATAAATATCACCATGTTGACTAAATGCTTAATATGAAAGCAGGTACTCTACATTGTGATGTTTTCCACAATGTATTTTATGTTTTTATATTCTCATTATTAGCTTTGTTGTGCTTTTACTCAGACTAAGTAAAAACTTGTAAAATAGTTTGCTTTTTTCCCTCTAGCTCATAACTTTGTCGATTATATTACATCATTATCTAATATACCTGTGTTGTCATTGAAATACTTATACATAATCTAAATAATACTCAGTGCTGTGAGTTGGGTGAGACTTAAGGTTGGGTCTGCAGAAGTGTGGTTGTTGTGGTGTGGGGGGTGACCTCAGACCTCACTGCAGCCTGACTGACCCCCTTCAGATTCACCCCTCAATGCAGCTGTCCTGCAGCTATCATCTCTTATTTCTTGAGCTGCGGTTTCTTTCTCAGTCTGTGGCTAAAACCCAGCATTTGATGATTGTTTTCCACCCCGTTCAACATTGATCTTTGATCCTGCAACAAACTTAAAAATACCTATGTATTTTTTTTTTTTTTGCCAAAAATCTGACAAGATTGTATTGGGCGTCATCAGTGGTAACATCAGACTTTATTTCAGTGAATAAAGATGAAACAGCTGCTTTATTGTTCAGCTCAGCACTCATGCATTCAATATAGGATCATAATATTTTCCAGCTTTCTCTAACTGTAGATATTTTTCTATGCTTTCTAAATATGCTGTAGATATCACTTTGTCAGACAAAATAGACTTTCAGCAATTCTCAAAAAATATCAGACTGCCTATATTAACATATGCATAATCACTTTATGGAAGTGTGCCTCTTAAAATATAATTTTATAAGAATAAATTTTCTAACATTAATTTTCTTTTTTGATTTCTTTTTGTTTTTATTTATACTTACTGAATTTACTGAGTTGACCTAACAATTTTCAAAGTTAATTTTAGTTTTGATTTGCTTTTATTATGTTAGCTTTATACTTCTTTCTAAAATTTATGATTATTTTCAAGTTCTCTTGGTTTTCACACAAAATTGTAATTTACAATTTAAAGTGTTTTTCTGTTTGAGTGTGTGCATGTGTGTGTTTGAGTGAGAGAGAGAGAGAGATTGATTGGTGTTGGATTGACTAAATGATGTAATAAACGAATGAATAAAGTAGAAACAGAGGCATACATATGTAGAACAAGCTGATAGCTGACAGAGGGGAGGATGGAGGAGGTTTTTGGATGGAAGAAGGTGAAGGAATTTGCTAAAGAGCATATATGCATTACCCATGGACATGGACAACAGTATGGTGATGGCCAGAGGGAAGGGGGAGCAATGGTGGGGAACGGGGGCTGGTGGGCAAAAAGGGGGAAATGGAGCTATCTATAGTAGTGTGAACAATAAAAATAAACTTAAAATAATAATAATAGTAATAAAACCCCAACTTGTAAAGGACTTTCCTCAATGATACTGTGTTAAAACTTCACTCCTTATGAATTAGTAAATAATGCAGTTTTCATTTGACTTCCTCCAGCAGCCTGTGATAGCTGTCCCTCTTGTTATGCCAATTAGCAGAAGGAAAGAAGATGAGACATCTGTTGGAAGTGCACCCTTGGCAAAGCAACAGTCTTATCAGGCCTCTGAATATGCCAGCAGCCCTATAAAAACAAAAACAGTAACAGGTATGTATGTGTCAAGAACTCAAAAGGTTCTGTGCTTTTACCCAACCTCCATACTAACAAATTATCAAATTATCTGGGCCACAGTTTTGTGAATGCTGACCAAAGACATGAAACTGCTGAAACAGAGACAAAGGACTTTGTCATTAACAGCATTAGCAGTAACCAAAGTGTTGGCATTTTCTCAAGTCTCTGCCTAAGCCTAATTTCCACAGGGTATTACAAAGTGGGGCCAAGTAATACCTATAAGCAGTGGTTTACATTACAGGAGAGCAACCCTCGATTGAGGGAACCCAATGTGTAGAAAGCCCACCTCCTCTCTAGAAGGAGGCATTATATGTACCTTGGAAGACTGTAAGTAAACTTGCTCATTGTTCAGAAGGAGGATAATATTTCTGTCCTCTGAGGCCTGAGTATGTTTTACAGATATCTTGAAAAACACAAGTAGGAAAAAAGGCACTCACTGCCTGCGCTTTTAAGACATGCAAAAACACAAGACATTCCTGTAGAATTGATTTCCGGTAGTATGTTCCTTCTTAAAGTGAATTCTTACAAATGACGGTACATTTCACTCTTCTTTCCTCCCCCTTCTCTCTCTTTCTCTGCTAGACTGTCCATGCAAATAGTCTTCCATAAAGCATTTTAAAATTTCATTTAATGTGTAATGAAAAAGAGCACTATGTGATTTCATTTTAGTTGATGTTTTTCTTCTTAATTTTTAATGTTCCGATGATGGGCCACCTATTTGGAGGTGAATTTGTATTTTTCCTTAGATATTCAGCCTTATTTTATATAACTCATATTACCAATCATACTGAAAAAAGTTTTATATTTTCAGTAAATCAAAACCCACTAACTGAACATCCGTAACAGGCAAGGCTCTGTCGTAAGTGATATAGAGGATAGAAATATTAATGAGACATCAATGCTTGCCCTTAATGAAATTAAAATATGATTGTACACATAAGGACATTTAAACTAACATTTGTGATTTAGAGGAAAACTTAGTATTATTTTCTTCACATTTAACAACAACAACAATAGCAATGCTAATACACATTTTTGTAGAGTTTTATATGTAACTATTGTTCTGTGCTCTATTGCCTTCCTAAAACAGCATGCTGTGTTTATTTTATAGAATTATTAGATATTTTACCGGTCAGTACCCACAGGCTTTTACTCTGTTGAGATTTCTATTATCAGTTGATAAAAATACCTACTCTTAGTTTTTGTTGTAGAGGAAGATTATCTGTAACTTGTATTTAGCTTTTAACATAAAATTAGATATTTTTTTCCTTTAGTTACCATGCTACATTATAAACTTTGAATCTCCTTAACTGGTGATTTACATAAAGGCTTGTAAATATCACCTCTGAATAAAATAAATGTCCACTAAGTATCCATTGATAAAAATAAGTGTAATCTTATATGCATATTAACCACATATTCTGACCTCCTGCTTTTATTATTTAGTCCTGTTCACACTTGACTGATTTAGAGTAATTGTTAAGGAAGGGTAAAGATGACAGAAAATGATTACCATTTACATGAAATTACATGACAGAACTATATAAAAAATATCTTAGATTTAAGAAAAATATGCATTTGCTATGCATGGAAAAGTTTTATATCTAAATTCACATCCCATATCAATTACATATCAATTCACAAAAGATACCAGTTAATATCTGAGATTTATTTTGCTGTCTTATACTGTTTTATTTTTATAAGAAATTAATACTAATTTTATGTTGAGAAAAATAGTAACACCCCAACATGTAGCTTTCTATCATTAATTATTACTTTATAGAATATGCAGACATATGTAAACAACACATTGTTCTTTATTTCAAATTACAATGTGAACTGTGGTACCTTGTATTTGAATTGTGGTATATTTGCTTTTCCTGTCTTTAGCGTTCCCCTGTCTCTCAAACACTTAGGTTAGATACCCAATAGGTATTCTCTTTATGGGTGAGGATATCAGTACTTCACCAAATGTAGATTCTTACACAGGCTAGCATGACAATGAACAGTTATCAAGCCAATGCCTGTGCTTGCCATGTTTTGGCACTGGGGGCATTTACAAGAGGTAAAAAGCCCTGGGTATAACATTCTTCACGGCTTACATTGCATACCCACCATTTTTACTTTTCTGGTAACCTTGGTGGTGGTGCTCTCTGTTTTCTTGAGAATGCTCTGTACCAACTGTTTGCTTTAATTAGGATTAAGTTTCAAAAATTTTTGTTTTTTAAAATCAGAGTATACAGTTCCTGTTGGTTTTAGATGAAATATGTTTTGTAAGTCCTTTGAATTTTTACCTACTTCTAAATGTAATTATCATTGTTTTTATTATTTACATTGCATCATGGACTGTAATGTTTTGGTAAGGTATTCATAGCCTTTTATACATCTTTTTCATTGTTTTTGTTTTACTTTTTGCATATTGGCCTTTTTAAGCATACAGTTCAGTAGTGTTAAGTATGTTCACATTGTTGTGGCATATATATTTTAATTTTTTAACTGAAATTTATAGTGGAGAAGTGTTAGTATCAATTTTTGCCTGAATTCTCATTAAACCTAAGCTCCCATTTTGGTCTTAAGTTCGTCCCCAACAATTTTGTAGTATTTTTGGCACGTGATGACCAAGGCCAGCTGATAATGCGCTAGGCTTGATTTTGGCATTTTAATTATTCAATATGAAGCAGCCATCTTCCTCTTCCAGTGTCAGTTAACCGGTGTAAAGTGGCTGGCTGCAGCAGGAACATGTGATTCATGGCTGGAAATGTGCTGACAGCAGAACAGCACTATTGTAGTGCTACAGACACGTAGGGCTGGCCACGCCAGGATAAAGTCGTGTTTCACATGAAGATAATATATTATTACAAAATTCTAAATAATCTTCTAGAGAATCTGTATACCCTTCAAAACATGGAAACCCTCAAAGATACGACATCTGTTTACCCTCTGTTTTGGAAACCTTATGAACATTAATTTGGGGCTCTTGACAAAGATGTCTGTAGTGGAGATGAAAAAGCAGGATACTGCATACATGATAGCTTTAAAAAATATTATCCATCATCATCAAGTTGAAAGCTGTTAAGTACACAGTTAAAACGATAGAAGGCCTTTTAATTTGACTCCTCAAATACTGCTAAAATAATAACAATGTGATAATTAATGATGTAAATGTTAAGAGCTAATACCACAAATTAAAAGTATGAAACTTTAGTTTCTGACCATGATGGAGTAACAAAGACTAAATTTCCATTCCTGCTGTAAGTAACATACTGATCAGAATGTATGGGAGAATAAAGCTTGTGGACATTGGACAACTGGCAGTACAGGGCCGTGATCCCTCATAGGAGGGAGACAAATGCCGTAGTGCCTAGGGTTGCCTGGCTTTCTGACTGAAGGCACATTCCAGACCAGAGAGCAGGGTGGGGTATATCAAACTGAGCTCAGCTGCCTTGCTGAAATGAAGTTTTGGGAAGTAGAGGGAAAGAATTATAAGGAGGCAGAGATGACTGGAAATTAGGGGACAAAATTCCAGAGAGAGAGAAAGCTATTAAGCAAGAGTTCCAGAAAGCAACAGTGGAGTTCTTCTTGAGTATTTATTAAAGGGTAAGACATGTTGGGCAAGGATAACCAAGGAGCTGGGGTCTGAATGATTCTCAGAGCTCACACAGGGATGGGAGTTATTCAGGTTCCCACTGTCCACAGTATCCACTTCTTATTAATCATTCAAATCTTCATAGAGGACCCAGAGAGGCATGCCTTAGTAGTTAGTGTAGCTAAACTTTCCATAGCATAAAGGCTATCCTAGAACCACCTCTAACAAACTTAAAAAGGGAACTAAAACAATGAGTAAGTTAACTGCTGGCAAAATGAAGCCTAGTGCTGTTAAGAGGAATACAACAAGATACAGACATGTAACAACTTAAAAACCACAATTTCATCCATTCAGTACCATATGCAGATGATGTATTATAGAATTGTACACCTGAAACCTATAAAATTTCATTAACCAATGTCACTGCAATAAATTCAGTTTAAAAAAACTGATTAATAAAATAAAAAACCCAAAACAAAAACTACTACTGATCCAAAGAAGTGGGAAACTTTGACCAGGAGAAAAAAATAACCAACAGAAATAAATTAAGAAATTATATAGATGATGGAATCAGCAAGTGTATTAAATACTTGTACATTAAAACAGGTATTAAAATTGTACTCAGGTAGTTAAGAAAAGATGAATACATTTTAGAGAGAAATGGAAGATATAAAAAAGAACCAAGCCCAACTCTAGAGATGGAAAATCTGCAATGAGAAACTCCCTGGATAGAATTAGAGTAGGGTAGACATTGCAGAAGAAGAAATCAATAAGTTTGAAGACATAGCAATAAAATAAAGGAAGAAAAATTTACAGAGTTTTAGTGAACTGTAGGACAATGATTAATTAGCATAGTCAGGGAAGTCTCACTGGAAGTTCATATTACCAGCTACTTGAAGCAGGTAAGGGAACAAGCTACATGGACATCTGTGGAAAATCATTTGGGGAGGAATTATCTATCTATATCTATTGAAAGTTATCTGATATAACACTTTCACTTTATAATTAAGGAGATGGAGTCATAAAGAAGTAAAGAAACTTATCCATGGTTAAAAATACTTAGTGACACTTTCAGTGAAAGTTCCAAATTGCAGTAGTCATTTTGTAATTATCAGTTGCCTTTTCTCATTTCTTAATAACATAACCAGCTCTCAAAATAGGGTCTATGCAAATTCATTCATCTACTATTTTTCTTCTAAGACCTGATATATGAGCAGCCAACTTCAGTGTGTCTTCTCCTCCTCCTCTACCCCATTCCTTTTTTTGTCAAGGAATTGTTCTAAATTTTAAGCCCAGTTCCATAGGACTAATATAGTGAAGAATTTTGCATTAGAGTTACCAACATGGGTATACTGGGAAATTCCTAACCATGTGATGAGCAGGGGTCTCT